TAAATCAACACCTGATCCTGCATCACGTCAGGCTTGGGTAGACAGATGCCTGCTGACTTCCCCTGGTCTATGTTGTCCCGTCGTACTACTGATTTCCACCTTGGATGCACTGCATCCGTCCTTTGAAGAAAACAGTGTAGCCGAGTGCGGTTTATTCTATCGAGTAGCAATTTGGGACACGTAGTCGTTCCAGAGCCTAGCTATGTCCGGGTTCATCTTTGCTACCTTGCTTGTCATAGTACCAAGTTCATTGGGTCTTGTAAGATGTGTAATCTTCAATTTCTTGAAACTATTTATAATGAAAAGAATCTTGTCTTCTGAGTTGTCATTCTTTATTCTGCTGATGTCCCAGTTGTTCATGAGTGTCCCGAGTTCTTTTTGAAAGACCGGGTTGTTATGTTCCTTGTGAGGTAACCTTCCGTTGCCTCATGGTTGATGAGTTCTTTTTGCAGCAATATGGTAACTCTGCCGTTTTCCTGGATGGATAAGTCCAAAATCTGCCTGTTGAACTGTACCGTTGTGTGGATTTGTGCCTTCCGTCATTTTAGTTGTGTTAGTAAATGGACCGTTGTGTTCTCACACCATGCTTTAACGGGCCTGGTGGGCCATTTTTATCGTTGTAAAATCTATTTAAAGACCTTTCATCTTCTTTTTCTTTACTGCCATGCTCTTGCCTTGAAACCCTAGTTTTCAGAAATCCACCGCCGCCATTGTCATCGTCACCTTAGCATCGCCGTCTGAGCCTCATCTTTCCCTATTGCCTTCTTGCTTCCGTTAGCATATGGGCAAGAAGAAAGCCGTGAGCAAGTCCCAGGCAACCTTCGTGGATGAGGAGTCATCCCTTTCTTTGAACGAGAACTAGGAGTTCGTGGCCTTGAGGGCTGCCCAGAAGGTTTGGCCGGCTCCAACAACAACCAAAGACTAGCTTCACGAGCTTGTCAGCGACGGTTTGATCTAGAGCAAGGGCATTGCTGAATGGAGAGCTCTAGGTGAGCATCGGGTTCCTGCTCCGGGTCCTGGGGAGATCGTTCTTTTCGTCTCTTTCATCTGTGCCGGTCTTTGCCTTCCTGCTTCCGCCTTCCTTCATTGATTTCTCAATTACTTTGGGGTTAGCTTGAACCATCTTGCTCCCAATGTCGTCCTCCATCTTTCTATTTTTGTTCATCTTTGCGAAACTTTCCTTGGAATTCCCCCTTCTCTTTCTCTCTTTTGCTACTTCTTTCGTCTGAAACCCCAACCCCGCCGCGAAGACACTAGTGTTCTTGGTGGCTGCGGGATTTAGTTTCACCAGGGTCTTAAGAAAAGTTCTTTGACTATGACCTGGTTGATTCTATGAGGGATTGGCGTGCCGACTGGTTTTACGCCGCCAATTTGATTCCTCCTCTTGTTGTTCACTCTGGATCTGGTCCTTTGGTTAATGACCGATGGGATAAGAACCCTGTGACAACGGCTGAGGTTCAGGCGATCCAGCCATTTCTTGATAGGATAAGTACTCTAAAATAGTAGGGCTTGACCGGCTTCAATATTGTCTCGAGCTTTCTTCGTCGTCGTGTTCAGCCTCTGAAGGAGCGAGAGAACTTTGGCTTCGAGTACTCTAGGGCTGAGGATACTTCACGCATGGTCCCTGCCCTTGAGTTGACCGATGAGGAGGTACTCAAGCGTCTCCAGAAGATGCTGAAAGGAGCAAGTGTTGTCCTGCTTACTGTCTCTGAGTACTCTACAAACAACCCGCCTCCAACTGTAAGTCGTTTTCTCTTCATGCGGGTACTTTTTGTATTTCTTTTGTTGTATCCATTTTTGCTTAATTTTCCTTGTCTTGTTGTTTTATTCTTTTCGTAGGAATTGGGGCGCAACTTTGTTGACCCGATCCCCCTTGATGTCCTCCCTGCCGTGGTGAATACTGGGGAGAACCTTGTTGGGGCTTCTGTAACCAGCAAGTTCCAAATCACCACAGCGTTTCCTGGAGTTTCTTTCGGAGTTGTTGATGTATATGAAGAATATGTTCCTCGTCCAGTCCCTCAAGGTCCTCGTAGTGTCTCAAAGAGGGGGCGATCGGATGGTCTTCATCTGGCTTACCTGCTTCCAAGAAGTCTCGCCAGCCGAGTACTCACCCAGGTACTCTAGTTATAGGTAGCGTGCTCCTAGGTGAGCATATTAATATGTTCGGTCTTTCTGTTATTTATTTGTGCCTTTGACCGAGTTCTTTTCTTTCTTTTTTCAGATGGCGCTGTAGCTGTCTTGCTGGAGATGAGGATGATGATGTGCCCCTCATTACGCATCGGTGAGTTGTTTACTTGTCTTTCTTTTGTTGAGCACTTCTTCTTGTTCTGACTTCATCGTTGCCCTTTTTTGTAGCAAGCGGTCATTGGGTCCGAGTTCTTCTAGGGTTCCAGTATTGACCATGCCACCCCCGTCGCAGGGTGGTGGTGATGTTTTTGCTGTCGTTGTTCCCCCTACGAGGTCTTCTTTTTGTTTTACGAAGAAGAAGATAGCTGGGTGAGTGAATTCTGGTTTCATCTCTTTGCTTCTGTTCTCCTTTTCTCTTGTTCTTATTGGCGAGTTTCTTTATCCACTTTCAGGCCTTCGTCTTCTCTCGACCCTCCGTCGACTTCTTGCCAGTCCTTTGGTGTGCCACCGAGTAGCGAGCCTCAGGAATCAGAGCGCATGGTCAGTGAAGTGGCTGTGGGGGAGACAAGGTTTTCTGGTGATGCTGCTGCTGCTGGCTTGGTTGCCCCGGAGGTGACCGTGGCCATGGTGGTGGATTCATCTAGGGAGGTAGCCGGGACTTCCCATGATGTGTCCCTGATCTTGCCTTCTCTGCATCGGCCGTCTTCTCCCTCCGCTCCTCTTTCTACTGAAGATGTGGTGCATCAATTTGATGCCACTCATCGGTTGTCAGAGTTGACCGCTTCTTGGGGAGACTTTACGACCTTTGCAACTTCTTTTGGAGAAAAACTCCAAGTAAGTTTTCTGAAGTTCTTTCTTTGGATGTTCATCTTTCTCCTATTCTTATGCCTTTTTTCTCTCTTTCTTTTTGTTCAGTCCTTCTCTCAGGACCATTCCGGCTTCTTTTTCTCGTCGAAAACTGAGAAGAAGTTGTCTTCGGAGTTGAGTGCCCTGAAGGCAGAGCTTGGTCTCTGCTAGGCCGAGATGGAGGCTAAGCATCAAATGCATCAGAAGGAGGAAAAAGCTCTTCGTGCCTGGGTTCTTGAGGCCGAGAAGCAGAGGGATGCTGCTATCCAAGAGGCTTTAAAGAATTCGGAGG